GGCTCAGATGACCAGATTCCTTAGACTCCCTGGTCCAGTGCCAGGCCTTGCTCGGACCTGGACACCAAGCTATAACTCCGCACAATGTGCCTCTTCCTGAACACCAGGCCTTTGGCACCTCAGGCTCCCACTACCCAGAGTGTAGCTCAACTCTGCCCCAGAACTTGGAAAATGAATAAGGAAACCTCATTTGAAATGGAATGGGGAAGCCCTGAAGGAAGAACCCTCATGCCCTACCATCTGTCAACTGCAGAACCCCCACAGGAAGATTTTCTCCTGGCCTGGCAACAGCCCAGCCAATGAGAGACTGCCACAACTCAGTCAATGAGAAGCCTTCACCACCCTGAACTAGCACTTTCTCCCAACAGACTTTCCTTCAAAGCAGCCCCTCCCAGCTGACTCCTCTTCTCTACAAAGTGACATTCCCCTCCTTTGTTCTCCAGATTTGCCTTTGGTTTTACCAGAGCTTGCATATTCCTATTTAAAATTCCTCTGCCACTCTTTTTTTTTTTTTATGGAAATGCTAATTTTTAAAAAAATTTTTTTTGAGATTTTATTTATTAGAGAGAGAGAAACAGCATGAGAGGGGAGAGGGTCAGAGGGAGAAGCAGGCTCCCCGCTAAGCTGGGAGCCCGATGTGGGACTCGATCCCAGCACTCTGGGATCATGACCTGAGCCGAAGGCAGTCGCTCAACCAACTGAGCCACCCAGGTGCCCTCCTCTGCCACTCTTAAATAAACCCATTTTGCTGGTAAAATAACTAGCAGTTTTATTTTCAGGATTGACAGAAGCTAGACCTTTACCTCAGGAGAAGTGTGGACCACCACTAAACCTCACTGATACTAAACACTAAAAACCTGGTGAAGAGGCCAGGCCTCAATAAGCATACCTCATGGATATTGCGGGTTCGGTTCCAGACCACAGTACAGTGAGTATCACAATACAGTAGGTCAAGTGAATTTTTTGGTTTCCTAGAGCATACAAGTTATATTTATGCTACACTGTAGTCTATTAAATGTGCAATGATACTAGGTCTCAAAAATCTGTGTATCTTGATTAAAAAATACTTTCTTGCTAAAAAATGTTAATCACCATCTGAGCTTTCAGTAAGTTGTAATCTTTTTGCTGGTGGACGGTCTTGCCTCCCTGGTGATAGCTGCTGACTGATTGGGGTGGTGGCTGCTGAAGGCTGGGGTGACTGTGGCAATATCTTAAAAAAGACAAAATAGTTTGCCACATCAATTGAATCTTCCCTCTGTTAACGACTTCTCTGTAGTATGCGATTCGGTTTGATAGCATTTTACCCAGGGTAGGACTTCCTTCCAGACTGGAATCAATTCTCTCAAACCCTGCTGCTGCTTTGTCAACTGAGTTTATGTAATATTCTAAAAGCTCTGTTGGCATTTCAACGATCTTCACAGCATCTTCACCAGTAGATTCCATCTCAAGAAACCCCTTTGCTCATGCATAAGAAGCAACTCCTCCATTCAAATTTTATCATGAAATTGCAGCAATGCAGTCCCATCTTAAGACTCCACTTCTAATTCTGGTTCTCTTGCTGTTTGTGCCACACCTGTGGTTACTTCTTCCCCTGAAGGCCGGAACCCCTCAAAATCATTCATGACGGTTGGGATCAACTTCTTCCAAAACCCTGTTAAGGTTGATACTTCGACCCCTCCTCATGAATCAGAATTTTTTTTTTTTTAAGACTTTATTTATCTATTTATTAGAGAGCAAGCGAGAGAGAAACAGCATGAGGGGGAGAGGGTCAGAGGGAGAAGCAGGCTCCCCGCTGAGCCGGGAGCCCGATGTGGGACTCGATCCCAGGACTCCGGGATCATGACCTGAGCCGAAGGCAGTCGCTCAACCAACTGAGCCACCCAGGCGCCCGAATCTGAATGTTCTTAATGGTGAATCCTTTCCAGAAGGTTTTCAATTTGCTTTTCCCAGATCAGAGTAATTGCTATCTATGGCAGCTATAACATTATGAAATGTATTTCTTAAATAATAAGACCAAGGGCGCCTGGGTGGCTCAGTTGTTAAGCGTCTGCCTTCGGCTCAGTTCATGATCCCAGGGTCCTGGGATTGAGCCCCGCGTCCGGCTCCCTGCTCGGCAGGAGGCCTGTTTCTCCCTCTCCCGCTCCCCCTGCTTGTGTTCCCTCTCTCGCTGTGTCTCTCTCTGTCAAATAAATAAATAAAAAATCTTTAAATAGTAAGACCTGAAAATTGAAATTACTCTTTGGCCTGTGGGCTACAGAATGGATGTTATATCAGCAGCCATGAAAACAACATTAATTTCATTGTACATCTCTGTCAGAGCTCTTGGGTAACCAGATACATTGTTAATGAGCAGTCATTATTTGGAAGGAATCTTTTTTTTCTGAGCAATAGGTCTCAACACTGGATTCAAAATATTTAGTAAACAGTGTTGTAAACAGATATGCCATCATCCAAGCTTTGTTGTTCCACTTATACAGCACAGAGTAGTTTTAGCTTAATTCTTAAGGGCCCTAGGATTTTTAGAATACCAGCTTCAACTTAAAGTCATCAGCAGCATTAGCTTGATGACTTTATGGGCAATAGAGTCAGCCTGTCCTTTGAAGTGCTGAAGCCAGGCACTGACTTCTCTTCTCTAACTATGAAAGCCCTAGATAGCATCTTCTTCCGGGAAGGCTTTTCCATTTATTTAAAAGTCTGTTTGGGGCACCTGGGTGGCTTGGTTGGTTAAGCGTCCAACTCTTGATCTCAGCTCAGGTCTTGATCTCAGGATTGTGAGAAATAACAATAATAATAATAAAATAAATTTTTAAAGTCTGTTTCGTGTACTCACCTTCATTAATTATCTTAACTAGCTTCTTTTTTTTTTTAAAGATATTATTTATTTATTGGAGAGGGAGAGAGGGAGAGAATGCACACAAGCAGGGGGAGCAGCAGAGAGAGAGGGAGAAGCAGGCTCTCCACTGAGCAGGGAGCCAGACACACGGGGCTCGATCCCAGGACCCCGGGATCATGACCTGAGCCGAAGGCAGACACTTAACCAACTGAGCCACCCAGGTGCCCCTTAACTAGATCTTCTTCTTCTTTTTAAGATTGTATTTATTTATTTGAGAGAGTGAAAGGGAGAGTGCACAAGAGGGGGTAGGAAGAGGGAGAAGCAGACTCCCCGCTGAGCAGGGATCCCAACACAGGGCTTGATCCCAGGACCCTGGGATCATGACTTGAGCCGAAGGCAGACACTTAACCAACTGAGACACCCCAGGCGCCCCTAGATCTTCTGATTAACTTACTACAGGTCCTATATTGGCACTTGTTGCTTCACTTTGCACTTTTGTTATGGAGATGGCTTCTTTCCTTAAACCTTATGAACCAACCTCTGTTAGCTTCAAACTCATCTCCTGCAGCTTCCTCACCTCCCTTAGCCTTTGTAGAACCAAAGAGTTGGGCCTTGCTCTGAATTAGACTTTGGCTTAAGGGGATGTTGTGTCTGGTTTGATCTTCTACCCAGACCACTAAAATTTTCTCTAGAACAGCAATAAGGCTGTTTCACTTTTTTATCATTCATGTGTTCACTGGAGTAGCACTTCTAATTTTCTTTCAGAACTTTTCTTCTGCATTCACCACTTGGCTGTTTGGCGCAAAAGGCCTAGCTTTCGGCTTTTCTCAGCTTCCAACATGCCTTCCTCATTAAGCTTAATCATCTCTAGCTTTTGATTTAAAGCAAGAGATGTGTGACTATTCCCTTCACTTGAACACTTAGAGTCCACTGTAAGGTTATTAATTGGTCTAATTTCAACATTGTTACGTCTCAGGAGTAGGGAGGCCCACGGACAGAGGTGGGCAATAGCCCATGACGCAGTCAAAACACATACATTTATTAACTTCCCCTTTTATTTGGGTGTGGCTCCTGGTGCCCCAAAAGCAATGGAAAAGTTTGAAATACTGTGAGAATTACCAAAACGTGACAGAGAGACATGAAGTGAGCAAATGCTGTTGGAAAATGGCGCCAACACACTTGCTTGATGCAGGGTTGCTACAAGCCTTCAATTTGTTAAAAAAAAAAAGAGAGAGAGAGAGAGAGAAAGAAAACAAAAAGAAAAAAACTCCTGCAATACCTGCGAAGCAAAATCAAAAGACATGCTGCGCTCCAGATACCAAGATACCAAGTCTTGGACTCTTCAGGATCCCACTGGCCATCGCCTGACCAGCTCCACATCTGACTCCAGAGTTCTCCTAATCCAGACACCAATCCTTTATTTCAGAAACTACAAGGCTCAGGGCCAAACCTAGGCCGTTACTTAGAACACCAAGACTTTACCACAGAAACCAGAGCCCTGGCTTTGGGTCACTAGCCTCTACTTCAGACGCCAGATCTCTACAAGATTTAGCTATGAGATCCACCCCTCTCCCCGCGCGCTCCGAGGCCCGGGTCGCCTGGCCCTTAACCTCGACAGCAACTCTTCACTCAGACCACCTGGACTCCGGCACCAGAACTTTGCTCTTGGCCAGCCGGGTCCACACGCCCTGCCCTCGGGTGGACAGAGTTTTGGCCCAGACACCCCAGGCGGCCAGGCCTGAAACCCCTGAAGCATCCAAGCCCGGTGCTACTACACGGGCCACCCCCGGCCCCGCCGCGAACTCACGAAAACGAGGTCCGGCCGCTGCGGCCGGGAAAGACGCGCCATCACCACCATCTTCCTGGCTCCCCAAGTAACGAAAGGAGTCGTGTTATAATGACGCCTCCCGCTGAAGGCCCGCCCCCCGGGGCCAGACCTATTTCCTATTGGTTGAACCCCTTTCAACCCCGCGGACAGCGTTTGTTGACTTTCGCTTAGGAGGCGCCAGCGACCGGAAGCAGAGAAGAGGCTCCTGAATATGACGTCATCTTGAAACTCCTCTACCAATCAGCTTCAGTGGTGGAGCCTGCGAACGCCCAATGAGCTGCTGTTTTGCTGAAGGGTTGACTCTGGGCGGAAGCGGCTTTGTAGCCTAGGAGAAGCGAGATGGGGGTGAAGCTGGAGGTGTTTCGGGTCAGTGAGCTTTGCAGTGGGTGGGCGGTTGGACTCCTCCCGGGACTGAGGAGGCGGCTCTGAAAGGGGGGGGGGAATTCCGGGAGAGAGGGCAGTGTGGGGAGAAAGCTTCTGAGTTTTGAGAGGGATCTTTAGGGTTGGAAGCCTAGCGGAGGGGGCGCTGGGGTAGGGGAGGGCTGGTGTGCGGTAGGGCGTCTGAGAGGAGTGATCTGAAAAAGGGGCTCCGAGAAGGAAGGCTCGAAACCCTGAGGAAGCTCATGGGCCCCGGGTGGTTGTGTGTTTCTAACAGGGAGACCCCTGTGATTAGCGGAATAGATTCCAAATAATGAGGCCTCCTGGGTTTGAAGATGTTCCAGGGATCTGACGAATGGGTGGGTAATGAGGTCTCACGAAGATGCCTTCGATTTTAGGACGAGGTTTTTGTACTCCGAGTGAGGGGTCTTTGCGCGCGCGTGCGTGTATGTGTGTGTGTGTGTGTGTGTGTGTGTCTTCGAGAGGGAGTTTCCCCAGACTTGGAGGAGGCTTTGAGGTCTCTTAAATTATTACCCTTAGGGGTCTAGGCTTTAAGGTGTCAGGCTTCTGTATCCTTGGTGGAAGTTCTGCGGTTCTTGGGGACCCTGAGGAGGCACGCGTAAGCTCTGCGGGAGGATGGTCCTCCAGGCTCTGAGCAACCGTGCGTGTTGTGGAAGGGGTTTAATCTGTGGCTCCGTTCATTTACCCCCTGCCCTTCTAGATGACGCTCTACCTCACCTTCCCTGTGGCTATGTTCTGGATTGCCAATCAGGCCGAGTGGTTTGAGGACTATGTCATACAGCGCAAGGTGGGCACAGGGAGAGTATTCATGGGTTCATTCCAGGGCGTGGGGGAGAGAATGGAGCACCAGCCTGCTGGGGACCAATGTCTGCTTCCCACCAGCCAACCCTGCTCTGGGTGGGGGGCTCTCGAGGCTCCTGGCTCATGCTACCAGCTGTTACTTTGTCCCCACAGAGGGAGCTGTGGCCACCTGAGAAGGAGGACCAGGTAAGTCACATACTCTTCTTCCCCCTAAAGGGACGGTGGTGCCTGGATCCCTGTGGCCATGATGGGTTTGAATGAAAATTTTGCTCTCAGTCATGAGGAAAGAGAACTGAGAGCAGAGGGGCATATAGTTTCTTTCTTGCCCTCTTCCTGAAAGATGAAGATGATCCCCCTCGGACCCTCGCTGTAATTGGCACAGGGCTTCCAGTGTAGATGCTGAACTCTGTGAAGCTGTGGCCTGGGGGAGTAAGGGGCAGGGTCGGGGGGAAGGGGGTCTAGGCCCCTGAGGTGTGTGTCCTCCTCCCTTCCCGTTCCACCCCCCTTCTCCAACCCCCAGCGCCGGGAGCTAGAAGAATTCAAAGAGAGGCTACGGAAGCAGCGGGAGGAGAAGCTCCTTCGTGCTGTCCGGCAGAGCTCCTGAAGCCTAGCCCCTCCACCCATGAAATAACACACAGTTCCTTATTTCTTGTGGAAGTGTTTTATTGTCTGTTTTCAGGGGCCGTGCAGGGCCCAGGATGGCTCAGGCCCTCAGGGGGCTTGTGTCTGGGGTTGGGGGCTGCTGTTCCGACGGAAGCTGAGGGCAGTCGGGTCTTGAGGGGTGAGGAGGGGTTGGGGGCTGAGCGTCCCGGCTCGTTTCTGCACTCCGTCCTGTGGATGAAGAGGGGTCAGCCAGAGGGAGGGACCAAGGACAGTGCCAGTCGGAGGTGACCCAGACATTGGGGGAGGGTGCGTGTGTGCCCCCTACTGCCGTCTGTCCGTACCATCCGCCAGCTTCTATGTACCTTAGTTACTCAACCTTTAGGGTGGTATTTGGGGTCTTGATCAGAACCCAGGCTGTGCGTGCATATGTGTGTCATAGACACTAGCGTACGGAGGTCTGTGTCCTGTGTATAAACTCATGTGCCCGCTTCCTCGGAGGTGTTTTCCTAGGAAGGGGGTCTGCTCATTCTGTCTTCCCCGAAACCCTGAGACAGGGCGGCAGCGCCGTTGAGTTCCAGCCACGGCTCTGACATTAACCTGCCCCCGGCCTGACCTTGGGCCCCTCTCGGCCCTGTCTGGGCCTTTGTCCTCCCACCCGAAGTTGGGGATTGGATTGGCCAGGATCCTGTGACTGGCAGGGACCCAGGGTGGCATTCTTATCAGGCACTCATCCCTAGGGGGCAAATCATGGCTAGACGTGAGGGTGAGGCCCCATTTACTCCTGGCTGGGGGTGGGAGGCAGGGTCAGAGCACTCAGCCTAGCAGGTCTCTGCTCAGCCCCAGCAGCACGTCACCTACCTTGGGGCCTATGGGCTGGAAGCCAGGCAGGGTGCTGACTGTCACACGCTGGTCATCCATACGGCGGCCCTGGGTACTGGCCAGCATGTCCATGAGACTGTCCATCTCGGGTGCAGGGCCACTCTCTGCGTTAAGCAGAAGCATGTGGGGATGAACATACACACTGACTCCAGGGGACACAGCCCAGCTGGAGCCCCCAACCCGCTCCTCCGCCTCCACTCATGTTCTCTCGGAAGTGCGCTCACCTCCCCCCCCCATCCCTTGCCCAGTGTTCCCATTTGCAGCTTACTTTCTCAGGTTCTTGCCCACAGGCCCCCCAGATGGCCACTCTCCCTGGATCCCTATGCCCTGCCCCGTTTATGCTCCCAAACATCACACCAGTCCCACTTCCCCACACCCCCAGTGCCCGCTCTCACGGCTCTCGGAGGTCGCATCCGGCCCTGCCTGCAGCGAGCACCGCTGCTCCTCCATCCGGTCGCCCTGCACGTGGCTCAGCAGGTTGAAGAAGCCCTCCTGGTCTGGAGAGCCAGCCTGGGGGACAGACACACTCAGTCCAGCTGGCCTCTCAGCTGGGGAACCCCTCCCCTCCCCTCCTCGGCTCTCACCATGGTCCCCGCCGATGCGCTGCTCTGCAGAGCTGCTCAGAATGAGACCTGAGCCTCCTTCCCCATCCCGGTCCCTGCCCCAGGGGCCCAGCTAGCAGGGCCACCCCACGTGGTGCTGCCTCAAGGGAGAGGCTGCCGGTGCCAGCATCCTGACGTCCTAAATTGGGGCCTGACTGCAGGGTGGCCTGGGGGCTGGGACATGAGCCAGGGAAACATACCAGGGGCTGCCCCCAAATCCCAGCATCCCCCATCTCACAGGGGTTAGCACCGAGAGCCCTGACCTCTGCCCTGGGGCTGGGTTAGGCACTTGGACCCTTGTGCCCACCAGCACTTCTTGGGCGGCAACTGGGTCAGGGGTCCCAGGAGACTTGCTTGCTAATTAGGTGCCCTACAAACTAATTAGTGTTGTCATTCACAGGCCCTTGAGTTGGAGGGATGTGTGGGGTGGGATCTGCTTACCTTGACGTAGGGGGCCGAGCTCCCGTCCACCTTCTCTTCCTGGTCCATCATTGTCCCCGCTCCCCTCCCCTGGGTCCTGTCCACTTCTCTGCTTTCCTCTGTCCCGGCCCTGTGCCAGAGAAGGCTTTTTAAAAGACTGGGATATGGGGGGGGAGTGGATACTCAGCCCCAAATCCCCAGCTCATGCCCCATCTGCTCCCACCCAAGCTTAAGCCCCATAAAGATGATCCAGATAATTGTTTTTGCAGCAGGATGCAGTGCTGCTGTGAGGGTAGGAGACAGGGTGACCTGGGTTTGGACCTCGCGCAGCAGGACTCAGACTGGGCTCCAAGAACTGTCAGGTGGGGCTCAGCAGCAGGCCAGACCAGTGTCCCCACAGTGGGGCGAGGGGGCTGGCTGGCCCCACTGGGAGAGGTCAGGCCACCAGGGCAGCTCAGGTGAGATCTGTAGCCACCAGTGAGAAGCAGTGCGGGATGGTCTCACCCTGCTGGGAGGGCAGTTGCCAGGTGGTGGGGGAAGAAGCTGGACCTGAGGACCACTGAGGCACCACCAGGCCAACTAGCTCCATCTCTTTCTCCTGGCCACCCCTCCTACTCACTGTCCCTGGGTGTGGTTGCCCACCACAGGCCCTAAGACAAGAAGGTCTGGGATTTCCTTTTTTTTTTTTTTTTTTAAGGTTTTATTTATTTGAGAGAGAGTCAGAGAGCAGGAGTGTGTGTGTGTGTGGGGGTGAAGTGGGGCAGAGGGAGATGGAGAGGCAGATTCTCCACTGAGCAGGGAGCCCGACGTGGGGCTTCATCCCAGGACCCTGGGATCATGACCTGAGTATAGGGCAGACGCTTAAACGACTGAGCCACCCAGGTGCCCCAAGAGGGTCTGGGATTTCCTGTCTTGCCACCGATGCCAGGTTGAGCTTTCTCCTGAGATCTCAGTGCCTGGGGATGGGAGGCAAGGAGCCCCAAGCAGCTATGGCCTTCTTTCAGTGCCCTGGGAGAGGGTGCCACTGGGAGGGTCCCGCTGGAACCCCATCCCCTACCCAAGATGCCTTTCTAGAAATCGGTTAAAACCTCTTCTCAGAGTAAATGGGCCACACGAGCACCACACCTGCCTGAGCACAAAGCTCAAAGCTCAGTCCTCTTCCCCCAGGCAACCGTTCGCCATCCAGGGCCCCCCCACACACACACCCTGTCCACAACCCTGAGTCCTCGATGCCAACCGGACGCCCTGCTCTTCCACGGATGCACTAGTTTCTTGGAGCTGCCTTAACTGCCTTAACAAAGTCACAAGCTGGGTGGCTTAGAGCAACAGATGATTGTCGCACAGTTCTGGAGGCTGGAGCCAGAAGTTGGGATGTTGGTGGTGCCATGCTCCTGAGACCCCCAGGGGAGGGTCCTTCCTTCCCTCTCCCTGGCTCGTCGCGGTTACAGGCAGCCCTCAGTGCTCCTTGGCTGGTCGCTGCAGTATTTCAACCTCTCCCTCTGTCGTCATGTGACATTCCTCTGTGTCCCTGTCTTCACATGACTGTCACAAGACATGGAACCCAGTCATGTTGCGTTACAGCCTCATGCTACTGCAGGCTGACCTCTTAACTAACCACATCTGCAACGACTCTATTTCCAAATAAGTTCACAATCTCAGGTACCAGAGCTTAGGCCTTCAACCTCTCTTGGGGGAGGGTGGGCAGGATACCATTCAGCCATTAACAGCTGAAGACCCTGGTCACCCTCACAGAGTACAGTGGGGGGTGGTAGGCCCTCCTGACCTTCACCCCCAGGGGACAGACTGAGAAGCTAGAGGGGTCTCACGGCCTTCCAACTCCTCCCTGTGCCCCTGCAGTCCATCCTTCCCCTCCAGGAGCTGCAGGGATCCCCTCCCTCCCCTGCTCAGAACTATCCCTCGGCCCCCATTGCCCTCAGGAGAAAACTCAAACCCCATGGAGTAATGGAATGTTCTAAAATCGGGGATGGATGCACAACTCTAAACATGCTAAAAGGCATTGAATTGTACACTCTCAGCAAGTGAACTGTGTGGTATGTGAATCATATCTCAATGAAGCTATGAAAGAAAAAACAAGAAAGGAACGGAGAGAGGGAGGAAAACACGGAAGAAAACCCCCAAATCCTATCTAGAGTAGCCAGCCATCCTGGTTTGCCTAGGACTTTCTCAGTTTTAGCACTGGAAGTCCTGTGTCCTGGAAACCTCTCAATCCCAGGCAAATTGGACTGGGTCAGTCCTACCTTGTCCCACAGAGGTCTGGCCTCTGCAGCCCCTCCAAGCTCACCTGCCTTTCTCCGCTCCTCCAGCTACATCCCCTGCTTCTCTCTGCCTGGTTTGCTGCATAGCTGCTGCTTGATGTCCATCAGGTTAAATCTAAACGTCACCCTGTCAGGGTCCCCCTCTGGTACCACACACAATAAACCACCACCCCCACATGTGGCACGTGCTCTCATGTCACTTTATTTCCGTTAGAACAGAATTGACCATTTTCTCTCTTCCATTTAACCTTAAGTGCCACATGGCAGATCTAGTTTTATTCACTGTTGCCTGTCCCATGTAAGTGGCAAACGGCCAAGCACCAGACAAATTCCTTTTTTTTTTTTTTTAAAGATTTTATTTATTTATTTGAGAGAGAAAGAGCATGAGCAGGGGGAAGGGCAGAGGGAGAAGCAGACTCCCTGCTAAGCAGAGAGCCTGACGTGGGGCTCCATCCCAGGACTCCAGCATTATAACCCGAGCCAAAGGCAGACGCTTAACTGACTGAGCCACCCAGGTGCCCCATCCGGACCATTTCTTTTCTTTTTTTTTTTTTTTGAGATTTTATTTATTTATCTGACAGAGACAGCGAGAGAGGGAACACAAGCAGGGGGAGCTGGAGAGGGAGAAGCAGGCTCCCCGCTGAGCAGGGAACCTGATGTGGGGCTTGATCCCAGGATGCTGGGATCATGACCTGAGCCGAAGGCAGACGCTTACTGACTGAGCCACCCAGGCGCCCCCATCCAGACCAATTCTTAATAAACTTGACCAAATGAAGGAACTAGTTCTGGACTCTGCATTCACACACGAGCATCACACCTGAAATACAGGACCTCTTTTGGATGGGCGCTGCTGGACTGTGCCCTCTATGTGACAAGGTGGCAGCCATTTGCTGGCACACAGCAGGAGCAGGCCATGAAATTTCAAGTCAAGTGTGAACTGAGTGTGTGTGTAAGTGTGCAAGGGGTTGGGCATGCCCCTAAGCCCACGAGTTCATCAGCAGACGAATGTGATTATCAGGCTGTGACGGTGTGTGTGCACCCGGTGAGGGCAAGGCTATGACAAGCGGTCCTCCTGGGAAAGAGTCCTGGTTCAGATCCCAGCAGGCCTATTCATCCTGTGGCCTTAGACAAGAGTCCTGCTGAGCCTTGGTTTTGTTGTCTATACCGCACTCCCTGTCAGGGGTTCTCCGAGGATCGAGTGAGAATCTGACACAGGTCCTTGGCACACAGTAGGTGCTGGCTTAGCTTCAACCCTCCCTCCAGGCTTCCTCGTGAATTGATCAAATGTTGTCCAGCTTGCCGCTATGCTCTGGGGAACAGAAGGTAAGTGGGTCACGGGCTTAGGGCCCCCCGCGGCCCCGGATGGGCACACAGCATCCGTCAGCCACGGAGAAACTTCTGGCAGGGTGGTGGTTGTGTCTGGGGAAGATTAAAGCGTTAGTTTCCCCGCGATCCCACTTGCTCGCTGCACGCAAGCAGGGAAGGTGTGTCTGAGCTCACGTCTGCGTGTGTCGTCGGGGTGGCCCTGCAGCGACTCTGTACTCGTCTGCGTGGACACATCCGCCCGCCCCCTCTGCGAGAGACAGATCTTCCTCTCCGAGGACCGATGGGGGGAGGGGCCAGCTCCGCGGGGCGAGGTCCAGGTGGCTGACGCGCGGGGCCACGCCCCCACCTTGGGACAGACCCGGAAGCGGTGGCGGCGCCCCTAGGGGAAGATGGCGCCTTCGGGGCTGAAGGCGGTGGTGGGGGAAAGTGAGTGCGTCTCCTAGGGGGGCGGGGGCCAGGGGTGCACGAACCCTGGACCCCGGCGGCGGGGATTTGGCGGCGGGGCTGGGCGTCGAGCACCTGATCCTCGAGGAGGCGGGCGGGGACGTGGTCCTGCTGGACGTCCCGGCTCTCCCGTGCTGGAGCGAAACAAAGTTGGGAGACTGGACTCCGGGGACCCAAGGGGATCGGGCTAGGGGTGGCGTAGGCAGGCGCCAGGGCTTGCCCTCCTGGACCCCCTAGGGTGCCGGCGGAGAGAGGGCACAGCTGGACGCCCAGACTGCTGGGTCTCCGAGCCTGGCAGAGTCGGGGCTGGGGGGGGGGCTGGACCCTTGGACTGGGGCCCGGGCTGGGTGCGCTGGTCAACTATCCCAGGTGGTGTGAGAGTTCGGGGGATGTGGTCAGGCCAGTGTCCAGGCCCAGGGGTGGGGGATACCTTCCTTCTTGCCGGGTCCCCACGAACCTCACGCAGCGTGAGGACTCGGGTGTCTAGGCCGCGTAGGTCGGGGCCCTTGGGAGAGGGGTAGAGGTCTCCCCCTCCCCCATCTCGGGTAGTTCCGGTTTCAGCACCTCCTTCCTCCTCCTTCCGCGCTGGAGGTCCTGATAAGAGTGGACAAGACATTCTGGGCGGGCGGGGCCACACTGTCCTTTCTGCCTCCTCCCTCCGCAAGGCAGGGCAGACTATGGCTCAAACCCCTAGCACCCCAACCCAAAATGGGGAGAGGCCAGGCCCGCCTCAGAGCAGGAAGTCAAAGGTCCTGCAAGGAAACTGATGGAGGTTGAGTGGTGGGGTCTGGCTTCAACATCCCCACCAGAGAACTCGAGGTTGCAGATGGCAAGGCTGAGAGCCGGGCTCTGGAGGGAGGTAGACCTGTATGTGAGCTCTAGCTTTTCAGTTACTCGTTCATCTAAAGCATATTTAATGAGTGGCTACTTAAGCCCCAGGCACTTAGCCATTTACGGCTCAGGGTGCTTAGGCTAGTCACTTGTCTTCTCTGAACCTGTTTCCCTGTCTGTAAATTGGGGGTGAGTGACCTCACAAGACTGATGAGAGAAGTAAACAGGAGTGAAGATGGAGGCCCAGAAGTGTTGGGGGCATGTTGGGGCCACAGAATCCAATATCCTGACCCCCCTCTACCTTCCCTGCAGAAATTCTGAGCGGAGTCATTCGGAGTGTCAAAAAGGATGGGGAGTGGAAGGTATGGAGTTGGCAGAATGCCTTGTCGAGACCCATGTGGGGTGCCTGAATGTGGGACCCATAAGAACTCCCTGAGGAGGCTGCTGGTCCATGCGGTGGGGTTGGGTGGGTGGGTCTGGGTCAGGGTGGGGTCGGGTGGGGGTCCTGGGTCCTCCCATCCAGCCAGCTCTTGAAGCTATCAGTTCTGCCTGCCACCCCAGCCCCACCCCAGGGGTAGCTGTAGCCTGTCCTGCCCACTCATCTGTCCTTCAGTACATCTGTCTCCATCCATCCGGACAGGTACTCATCATGGACCATCCGAGCATGCGCATCTTGTCCTCCTGCTGCAAGATGTCAGACATCCTGGCTGAGGGCATTACTAGTGAGTGGACACCCCCACCCCATGCTGCCCAGATGGGACCTGAGTATGGGGTCCCCTAAAGTTGTCCGGAACTCCCCAATACGCAATTCCCTGTATATACAGCTCTTTTTCCTCCTGAGTGTGGGAGCCTGTGACGGGCACACCTCCGCTGCAGGACTCCCCAACTGCGACTCCTAAGGGGTCAGCCTCCCTGACTATGTAACTCCTGTGTATGGAACCCCATGTAGGACCCTCAGAGTGAACTCAGTGTGAGACCCCCCCCAGAATGTGTGACTTTCTATGGGGGACCCCTAGGAGGCATGGCTGTGACCTTGAATGTGTAGAACCCTGCCCATGTAACTCTTAGCTGTGTGCCCTATGGGCGGGTACCTCCCCTTAGGCGCCCGAGGGCGTACAGCTCCCCTTGTCCTAGCATCCAACCCTCTTGCCCAAGCGTCCAACTCTCTGAGTCTGAGACTCTCCGTGAGCCCTGGCCCCAATGCCACCTACATATGGCCCTTTCTCCATTCCTACTAGTCGTTGAAGACATCAACAAACGGCGAGAACCCATCCCCAGTTTGGAGGCCATTTATTTGCTCAGCCCCACGGAGAAGGTGCCTGTGTAAACTATGTGTGTGTGTGTGTGTGTGTGTGTGTACACATGCCTTGTGCATGTCTGCATGTGTCAGGTCGGGGGGTGGGTGGCACAGGCAGTGGCTGGGAGGCTGGGGCAGGGCTCTGGAGGGGCAGGGCCAGGCTTGGCTTGGACAATGGTCTGCCTCCCCCAGTCAGTGCAGGCCCTGATAGCAGACTTCCGGGGGACTCCGACCTTCACCTACAAAGCAGCACACGTCTTCTTCACCGACAGTGAGTGAAGCGAGCTGGGGGCATTGGGGGAGGGGGCGTCGGGGCGTGGGGCCACTCTGGCCTGATGCCCTCTCTTGCCCACCCCAGCCTGCCCCGAGCCCCTGTTCAGTGAGCTGGGCCGCTCCCGTCTAGTCAAGGTGGTGAAGACGCTGAAAGAGATCCACCTGGCCTTCCTCCCCTACGAAGCCCAGGTACAGCCCAGGCTAGTCCAGGGTGGGGGGTGGGGGTCCGTGACCAAACATCCTGGGTTCCCTCAGAAACAGACACTGAACCCAGTAAAGGGGACATCGGGTCAGAAAGGAAAGCAGCCAACACAGAGGGGGCACCTGAAGTTCTGTCCCCCTGGGCAACTACAGGGGGCAGCGTGGAGACACCTCTGAGGTGTTCTGCCCCAGGGGGAGGGGCCCGGGGTGTTTCTCCACCTCCTGCAGGCATCAGTTGGGAGCGGCCCAGGACCTGCCTCCTGGATGGCGAAGCAGGCTCCAGAGCCCAGGGGAAGCCCCGGGGAGCGGCAGGTGCTGGAGGCTGCACGCGGGCCAGGGGTACACCCAGAGCGGTGGCCTCGGCACTTATGCCCTCCCAGGTGTTCTCCCTGGATGCCCCCCACAGCACCTACAACCTCTACTGCCCCTTCCGGGTGGGGGAGCGGGCACGGCAGATCGAGGCACTGGCCCAGCAGATCGCCACACTGTGCACCACACTGCAGGAGTACCCGGCCATCCGCTACCGCAAGTGGGGATCCCACCCCTATGCCACCCCCACCCTGACCCCAGCCTGCCTGCAGCCTTGAACCTCACTTTTGACCCCAGTCCTGGTCCTCGCCCGGGCCCGACTCCCATCCCTAACCCCATCCTTGACCTCCCGTGTGTGCCTGGCCCTCCCCCACCCCACACCTGATCCCCCATGTCTGCCCACCCCACCCACAGGGGCCCAGAGGTCACAGCACAGCTGGCCCACGCGGTCCTGGCCAAGCTGAATGCCTTCAAGGCAGACAATCCCAGTCTGGGTGAGGTAAGGGGGCCTGCCGGGGAGGTGGGGGTGAAGCCACGACGAAGGAAGGACAGGGTCAGTATCCTCATCTGTGCCAACCCCCCAGAGCCCAGAAAAAACCCGGTCGCAGCTACTCATCATGGACCGGGGGGCGGACCCTGTGTCCCCGCTGCTGCATGAGCTCACCTTCCAGGCCATGGCCTATGACCTGCTGAACATCGAACAGGACACGTACAAGTAGGCGGAGCCCAGGAACACTACCCAGCGGCCCCCCCCCCCCATCAGCTCCTGGGTCCCTGGTCCTCGGCCGGTTGCCCTGACCCTCCGTCTCCCGCAGGTACGAGACCACGGGGCTGAGCGAGGCCCGTGAGAAGGCGGTGTTGCTGGATGAGGACGATGACCTGTGGGTGGAGCTACGGCACATGCACATCGCAGACGTGTCCAAGTGCGTGCCCCTCCGCAGGTGGCCCCACCCGCATCCCCAGTCCCGTCCCCCCCCCCGCCCCCACTGTGGGCCATGTACGCGGTCTTTGGCTCTGGGTGAGCGCCCCAATACAAGCCACGCCCCTCAGCCGGACTCCTCGGTGTGGGCTTGCCCATGGCCTGGTACAGGGACACGTGTGTCCCCTGGCTCCCCCCCGTCAAACTACAGTGTTGGCGCCAGTCCCCACCCCCACCCCTGCCCACTCTTCACCGCCAGGAGGGTCACCGAGCTTCTTAAGACGTTCTGTGAGAGCAAGAGGCTGACCACCGACAAGGTAGGGGCAGGCGGGCGTCAGGATGGGCAGCTGGGGAGGAGAGACCCCTGCCCGGATAGAGCGGGGTTAGGGCCCCAGTCCGGTGGCAGAGCCTGGAGTGGGATCCGGGGTGGGCAGGGCTGGGCCTCACGGCCACCCTGTCCCCAGGCCAACATCAAAGACCTGTCCCACATTCTGAAAAAGATGCCGCAGTACCAGAAGGAGCTGAACAAGGTGAGCATGGGTAGGGAACCTGCCCCCCCCCGCCCCGCCACTGCCGCCAGGCTCTTGGCTTGGATTCAGTTTCTGTTACCCCCAACTCCCACCTCCCACCCCGCAGTATTCCACACACCTGCATTTAGCCGACGACTGCATGAAGCACTTCAAGGGTTCGGTGGAGAAGCTGTGCGGTGTGGAGCAGGTGGGGCAGGGCCTGGGACAGGGGTGGGGCCTCAGAGAGATGGGCCTGCAGAGGGGGCTGGGTCTGCAGGGGAGGAGCCTTGTAGAGGTGTAGCCTGTGAGAGGGGTGGGGCCTTTGGAGAGCCCGCGGGGACTGAGACGGGTGGGCCCTGGGGAGAGGCGGTCCTGGGACAGGGATGCGGTCTATGGGGTGGGCAGGGCAGGTCCATAGAGAGGTAGGACCCGGATAAGGGGTGGGGCCTGTGGAGAGGTGGGGCCTTGAGAGGGGCGGAGCCTGTTGGCCAGGGATGAAACCTTCAGAGACCTGATAGTAGGAAGAAGCGGGTCCCCAAGGTCCTGTCAAGGACCCTGGGGGTGGCCTAGCTCTGGAACCCCCCAACCCCCTGCCCCGCAGGACTTGGCCATGGGCTCAGACGCAGAGGGTGAGAAGATCAAGGATGCCATGAAGCTGATCGTGCCTGTGCTGCTGGATACAGCGGTGCCAGCCTATGACAAGATCCGGGTCCTGTTGCTCTACATCCTTCTACGGAACGGTGGGTTGGGGGCATGGGAAGGCCTCCGGATACCCCCATTCACGGGGGTCTGCAGTGATCCAGGGAATCTCTCAACCCCACAGTTTTCCTGACCTTGGGATGCCCCCACTCAACAGGCACACCAGACCCCACGGATATACCCGCCTCGAACCTGGGAACCCCCTCCATTGATCTGGGAGATCTCTCATTGACATGAGGGCTCCGTTGACATAAGGACCCCCAAATCTATGACTCCTCCAAACTTGGCCCCCTCAACTAATTCCAGACCCCCATCTCTCCCCTCTGGGATCCCCATCCAGAATTCTAACATCTTCCTTGCACCTGCGCCAGTGGCTCCCTTGGTCCAGAGGACCCCCCCCCATCACAGTCTTGGGACCTCCTCTCGCCACCCCCAACCCCCTTCACCCAGGAACCCCATGGCCACCTTCCGTCCCCCCACCTTCTCTGAGCCAGGCCCCCTCATGAGAATCCCGTCCACAGAAGCCCACCCATCCCCTTCCTCCAGGTGTGAGTGAGGAGAATCTGGCCAAGCTGATCCAGCATGCCAACGTGCAGGCACACAGCGGCCTCATCCGGAACCTGGAGCAGCTGGGGGGCACGGTCACCAATCCTGGGGTATGCTGGCCTAGCAAGCCGTGCGGTCAGAGACTAGGCAGAAGGCAAATGTGGGCTTGCGGGGGGGGGGTGCCTGGGAGGGTCAGAGCCTGGGGCCTGGGGGGCTGGGGCATTCAAGGCATGGGCTTGGAGGACGGGGAGGTGCGTGCAGGGTCAGGTCTGGGGACCAGCGGGCACCACAGCTGTCCCCAGTCATGGGTCACGTGATAAGCAGGGAGTAGGGTGTAGCCAGAGCTGTGGTCCTGGTGACGGTGCAGTGGGGGGGTGTGGCCGGAGTCCCCGGGGGCGGACAGCAGGGTCGCCGGCCCACAGTGGACCGGGAGCTTCTGGAGGACTCAGAGGACCCTCCCCAAAGCAGCCCCGTCCCAAACGCATCCGCACAGCAGCTTCCTGTGTTCAGCTGTCTGCTTAGCTGCTCCTGTCTCTCTCTGGCCCTGTGTGTCCCCCTCCCCTGACCCTGCCTCCGCTACTGGGGCGGCTCTCCGGTCCCCTCCCTTGTCCCTCATCGCTCTCCCGGCCCCCTGTCTGCCGCCCCGTCTCCCACCTCCCGGGTCCCCCGTTTCTCCCTGCCCCTCCGCCTCTGGCCCCACCTGTCCGTCGTTCTCGTCTTTGTCTTTGCCACGGGTCTTGGTCTCATTGGCTCTGTATCTCTCTCTCCTTCTCGTGCCCTGTCCCTCTCCCTCTCTCTTTTCCTCTTTC